GGAAACGGGTAAGAATAAGAAAAGAAAAAGTGGCAAAGGTTGGTAGGATTGCTGTCGCATTGAAATAATCAAACTTTTCAGTAATTAATTTCAGGAAATGATTGAAAGAGATGATGACTAGCACGAAGGGCACAGCGAATCATTACTGAATAGCAGTACTACACAGCTGGTTATTTTGTTTTGTACAAATAATGCACATCATTAGTAATTAAATTGGAGTGGGCTGCATAAAATGACCTGCTGAAATATAACCATAGACAGCTGTTTGCTCTGATTAAGGCAACAATACACAATGAGAAATGAATAGCCAGATGAGGAACTGTTTGGGGTGAATAATGATCGTAGAAGCTTGAACTGTTAATGCCCAGTCTCCTTTCATAAATAGCCTACTGAAAATATGCAACTAACAGAGTTAAACTAGCAATGCAGTTGCAATAACAAGCCCATCCATTTCCCTTGGCTCTCTTCGCGACTTGTGCTATTGCTATTGCTGTTGCTAGTCCTCTACTCAGTACTTTCATTCTTTCCTAAATGATAGATTTGATGCTATATGAAGCTGAAAGGCTACCAACAAAAATGCACATGTCTAAATAAGGCGAAATTCATTCACAGCAATAATCCATCGTCTAACTTGACTAGCATGTCGTTTCAGTCTTTCGGCTTTTGGCAAAATCGAACATGACCAATGGTCAACGCTCCAAGAAATTCAATTGATAGATGCATTGAGCATAAGACATAAATGCATCATTTAGCCATACCCATCATATCCATAGGACCATCAGCAGAAGAAGTAACAAATGCACCATACCCAAAGCTTTCATGAATTGCTTTTTTTTAAAGAAGTTTGTAAAAAATAAACTTGAAAATTTAAGAACTTGTGCTATAATGGATTGATAATGAAAAACGAATGTAATGTAATAATAAGTTTCCATACCTTAGATATCAATAAAATCAAAAAATCTAGAGGTCATTTGCTTTTTGCATTTGAGTTCTCATTTGTGTTCATATGGGGAGCTCAATTGACTGATTGATACATTGGAAAAGTACCACCAATCAGCAGCAATAGTCCATTTTCAACATTAATCATCATTTATCTTTCTCCATAACCACAATAGTGCCAAATTTTTCTTATCGTTAATGCATCATTATTTTGAAGATATCTCTTCTCTTTCTTGCTAAAAAGGAATTTGCAGTTAAGCGTTGCAGTTAGAAAACTTACCATAACGCCTGTAAGTTTCACTTCTTTTTTGACTTGGTAGCTTTTATGTTGAAAGAATTGAAATAGAGGAAAGTTTCTCCAGATATTTTATAATGATTATCGTAGTTTATTGAAATATTAAATAAAATTTAAAATTCTAAAACTACGTTAAATCATTTTAAACTACGAAGGCATTCGAATTAGCTTACGGATACGATTTTACCAGCCAGCGTTTTAATGATAAACAGCAGACCATGCTCACGAAATTTTGTTTATTGTTAAATTTGAGAATTGATAAACTTGCCTATAACAATGGGGAATATATCAGCCATATTTACCCTTATCAGATATCATTTGATGGTTGCAGATGCATACATTATGTGTAATGCAAGATGGCTTTAATTTTCAATGATGTATTTATATTTGCCATAGCATGGTTTTTGATAACAAGCTTTGCCTACATCAACATAATCAGATTGGATTGCTGATAAACTTATCAGATTGTATTGCTAATCGCTCGCTAATATCATTTGCTTATGATTAAACTGTAAGATGGATAACCGTAGGAAATAAAATGAGAATAACTTTGCTAATCGCTTAACCGTAATGTTCAGTTAACCCGTTCCTTACCCTATCGATATTTTCGATTCTGTTAAAATTATGGCGAAGTGCACATTTTCATTATCAAATTTAATTACAACAGTTAGACGCTAAGTGATTTAAATTTCTTAATACGTCACCTTTATTTCGCTAATAAACTTCATCATACTGTTGATCGCTTATGCCACTAATATATTTTGATCAGTACAAACATTCCTCTGATTTCGATAATTTGTCAATTTTTCATATGTTTTAAAATTTCAAGATGATAAGATGAAAGTTTTTTTTGAATCCAATATTTGATAACATAGTGATAGCAGATATGATACAAATAAAGCCGGAAAATGATGTCTGAAAATGATGACAACTATGCAGTTACTGCTGATATAACTGATAGTGATATTTGTAAAAAAGCTTTTATATGCCAACAAGCTTCTCTAATCAGATAAATGTTTCACTGAAATATTTGAGAAAACTAAAAATAAAGAAATTTTCCGGATAAATCAGAAATTTTAATTTTACCAACAATGATAAAATGGGATGTACTTTGGATTTTAGCAGCAAAAACAACTAATTATAGCATTGTCTAAACTGTAAATTATTCGGTACCAGAAAACGTCAATATAGAAATGATATAATAGCATAAGCAGGTGCAGCAAACTTTCGCTTTACAGAATACTGTGATTTCGTCGATTCCGATTCTGTATTGGCAATTTGTGGACAAAAAAATATATTTCATTTCTCAGTTGCCCAACTATCTCGACACTAAGATCTAGAAATAGACGTGTTTGAATGACATCAAGTAACTAATTTAACAATGCACAATATTTAATATTTTTTCCTATTGCTAAGGCTAAATTAATTTGCAACGTCCAAAGAGTTGTAGTCCAAGCAAGCAACTTACTTTTTGTTTAAACGCACCAACTACAATATCTTCCCTCTAAACAATTCTTTCTAACTTTGTAATGCCATCGGCTAATTTCAATCAATTTTGATTTTTAATAATTAAAAAAACAAGTGCTGGGAAGAAATTGATAAAATGAAAATCTATGTGAAGATAATAAGAATTGCTCGCATAAACCTATTGATATTTTGTTAGCAACTACTTTAAAAGAAATCACTATATTAAGACAATGTATGGTAACAATTGTCACCATCAAGAACAACAGTATCACTAGAAATGTCAACATCATTCGAAGTGTTGTTGAAAATAACGACGATTGTAGATTGGCAGATCAAATTCGATCATTCTGTCACATTCAATCGAAGTTTATTCCGTTGCAAAGACAATCGTGTATATATGAGATACGTGAGGAAAAACATAACTTTATGAATTTGCTTTCTTTTGAAATTTTTTATGACCTCTTGCTTTAAAGTTTATTCCGCTGATTTATGAAGAATAAGCAATACAAGTAATACCACCAGCCTTTTTTTGCCACTTCGAAAAGAGACTTCAATCTTAAGTGATTATGGTGTCAATATGAAGAAATTGCAAGTAAATTACATGACTTAAACTATTTTTAATTTCAGATTCTTTCTTAAATATCTTACTTGCAAGTAGAATAAATGCTCAATTAAGCATAAAAAGTGAAAATTTTTTCAATGCCTTTAAGTTTATTGAACTGCAAAGTAAAAGTTAAATCAAAATTATTTCATTTTTTTTTTTGTGAAATGTTATTGGCATTATTATCATTATCGAAAGCATAAAACATTAGTCGAAATTATTCAGATTGTATCGATGGTTTAAACTTCTACTTCCTGATAAATTACTGTCCATCCATTTTACGACGAATTGATGTTAAAAAGATGTGCGATAAATGTTACACTGAAATACCATGCGAAGTGTTACATTAAAATATGTTCAGTCAGGTTATCACTATTATCAATTTATTATAAATAGAGATTGGTTATCAGGATGACTAGCAATGAATTTGATTGGATTATTAGCAAACGTCTCAATTTTCAAGTTATATAAACTCATGAAGTAAAGTTTGCTATTAATGGAATAATTTTAAAATTGTTTAGCGATTGTTTCAGGCGTCCATTGTTTGTGAATATCCAATAATTTCTGCAAAACAATGCCAATTCTCCCCTGAAAAATTGAAGATAATGCAGTGGATATTATAAACTTTTGGTAAATGACAATGCATTATTATGTTAGTTGAAAGTTTGTCCATTATAAAATTTGCATATTACATTGCATTTTCTGACGGTAGCATTTTGCTAATTCTAAAATTTGCATATAATCATCTCATACTTCTTATTTTAAAACCTTCAATAAGCAAAGTCACTTTAATTTTTCTTTCCTCAGTTCGGTCGTTTGCTTCTTAGCTCTGTTTTCCGCTTTTCGCAGGTCATTTGTTAAAAATTCGAATGATTAAATTAAACGTGAATATATATATTTCCGTGGATAATATACTAACTTAAACATGACTATATATAATAAGTACCGTGCTAAATTAAGCCTATTTTATTTTGTATATTTTTTTATGATATGAATTAGATCGAAAAATAAAATATATATATTTCACGGTCTTTTTTTGAAGAAAAGAGAAAAGAGAAGAGAAGCAACTTATTGATCACTATTGTTATTGATGTAGCTTTAACTTGCGGGTAAATAATGATACTATTTTGAGATGATCTTATGTTAATTTAATTTTCAGTAAATTTCGGTATCTGCTCAAAAGTAATAGAAGACTTCGTTCTTGTAACATCAGTTGAAGAAGGTAAGATATTTAGGGAATGCGTCCAAATTAAGTAAAACAGTAATAAATTCTAACAGCTAAAATCGATTTCCGTTTACAAATTAATACCCAATTCTCTTTCTTATAGACAGATTTTTCTAAGGTTCATCTCACTGATTTCAGAGAATTAAAATCGTCTAACAATAATTTTGTGCTTTATTAAATTATAATTTCGGATGTATTTCTTCAAATCTTTCCACAGCAAAAAAAAAACGAAAAAGACGCATAGTAAGGTAATAATTGTTACATCGGATTGTTTGATTGAAAAAGCCTTGATAAGCAGTTTCAATACATCTTAAAATGACTTGAAATTATGGTTTTCCCCGGAATTCATTCTCGAATAACTGCTACGATCATTGCTTTTTTGCAACAGATCACATTTGGTGTCAAATCATATCATTATCAAATCATTTAATCTTATTTTTTATAAAGTTAGGATAAAATTATAGAATAAGGGCATGGATCAACAAAACATTGAATCGGAACGAAGTATGGAGAAACCATCAATGATGACGTTTGAGATGAAAAAGCATATCATCGAGGAACGAATTGCTGATGTGAAAGAAAGCATGCATGCATTGCGTAACACAATGCAGGAAACTACCAATGTAAGAAATTTCAAATTACCAAATTCTTTTTGTGCGATTTTCCTTTTTTTCATTAGTCTTACGATACTCAGGAAGTGAAAGGAATATTCCATCGTGTCATGAAGTTGCAAAATATCGTCGATGATGTCTCGGAAAATGTGAAAATACAGTTAGATGAATCGAAGAAAATTCGTGAAAAAAAGGTTAAGCTAATTTTAAAAGCATATTTTCCAGGACATAGAGTCATTGAACACTAATATAACCTTTTAGAGAATTACTCAAAGAGTAGACTTCCGGTCCATCA